CTGAACTAAACTGAACTGAATTTCAACGTATGAGAACAGGCCCTAATACCCGTGCGTTGCACGATGGTTGATTAGTTATTTTTCTATAATTATTTATCTTTTGTTGTTGATAACTTTCTAATATGATTTGGCTCGTTATTTAAAAAAAAAATTGTTATATAAAAATATATAAAAATAAATGTACTTAAAAAAAAAAAGTTAGTTATAAAATGCTGCATCATAATGTAATATTTACTATGTTATTAAAAATATACTAAAATGATGGTTAGATTAAATATATTAATGTTGTATAAATGTATAATTCATTAAGCTTATATGTTTAGAGTGGAAGCTAAATAATGTGTATAAACTATTAAAAAAATGTGTATTAATTTGTTCAAAAAAAAATGTGTATAATTACTAATTAGTTACCAATATCTATGTGGACTATGTCTATTTAATATTGTTGTATTATGAATATCCAAAGGTAGTGGGGACTGGGGAGTATATACAACAATATTGATTTCAAATTCAAATTTCACACCTAATTGGTACTAGTTTCTAGCTAGAAAAGGTACACACACACCCAAAAAAAAAAATGACATCATAGGTAAAATTTGGAGAGAAATTTTTTATGAGAGTTTGACACGTAAGCAATTTAAGAAATAGATGACATCATCAATGTTTTGTTTTAGTTATAGTTAATAGATTAGTGATGTGGGGAATAATCTACCAATCTTATAAAAGTATGGTGTAACCATTCTCCTCTTATTTACTATGTATTTTAACTAGTAAATAGCCTAGATATTGCTATTTTTGTAATTGTATAACCGCTAATTTTTTATAGGCATTTAATACAAAGTAGTTTTATGTGTTTTTAATTTGTCGTATGGAATTAATTAATTTGTGTGTAAGATTAGAGCATAAGTGAGAATTAGCCTAAATGGTTAAACAACATGGTGATTGTTGGTTGCGTAGGTAACGTGGCATATTAAAGAATTGAGTTGGTGACGCGACGTATTGAGAAATTGAGTATTTTGAGTATGTGACGTTGCTTAATGAGAGATCTACATAGCACATAAACATTTTTAATTAGGAAAGTCTTTAATATATTAGTATAAATGTGTGGCGATTAGTCTCAAGTCTCAAAGCTATCAACTCAAAATGTGGGTTGCTTTCATAACATTGTTCATCACATTTGAGAACCTTTATTTTTTATCTTACATTCTAAAGACGAAGTAGGCTACAAATTCCTTTAACATGAGGTCAAATGGACCCTACTTGGTGCAATCTCAAATAGGTTAGGCTACTCGGTTGAACTAAACTGAGTTGAACTAAACTGAGCTGAGCTGAGCTAAACTAAATTGAGTTGAGCTGAACTGAATATATTATAAGAGAAGGAAATTAGGAGCTGAACTGAACTAAACTGAGCTGAACTGAACTGGAAATAAACGTATGAGAACAGGCCCTTACTCTAAACAAATCTTCAAATTCTTTCCATTTTACATATACCTTATATTGGGTATGACAATTGGATCAAGATCATCTATATTTATACCATGATAAATTTATTGGGCTAAGCTCACACTAAAGAAAAGTATGATCACATTCACATATCACTCAAATTAAATTTCATTCTAAAACTTGTTGGTGATGAGTGAAGTATTGAACTTTATTGTTTGTCTAACAATACTGTTATTAGTTATTCTCTCTCTATTTCTTTTAAGGTGGGATTAATTAGCTAGTGTGTGTTATTTTCCTAAAGTTTATATCTAAAAGTAGCTGCTTTGATTGAGATGAATCTTCTTTGAGCTTGTAGGTAATCTCCAATGGGGTCCTTAGCTTCTCGAGTATCCAATGCCCATGCATTTCCAAAAAATAAAAAACACTTTAATAGTACATGGTCGATTAAATAAATTATATTTTAATACTTACCAGAGTTACAACACAACTTTAAAATGAAAATGTCAAATACTTACAATTCTATATTATTGGAATATTTTTTTTAGAAAATTTTGTATTACTACCCTTATTTAAAGACCATGATCCTCTTAAATATACTCCTAACAATCTTTCTACCCTATTTAAAGTGTATTTAATTATGTGATGTTTCCTGTTTTTAAATATAACGTGAAGAAGTAGAATAACTTACAACTTTCAAGCTGTATTAATGTATTATTATTCAATTCATCACTTTAGCGCTAGACACTAGAATGAAATGTTAACGAATTTTAATTGGTAAATATGATTCTTGATTTTTATGAAACCATATTTGTATTTTACTATCTAGTGAGCATTTCAAAATAATTAATTATTATATTGCATTTCAGCATTTGTTATTGGTCCCGTGTAGTAGCTAGACGAAAAATGTAATTAATATTCCTTGTACTACGTATATTGGACAAAATAAAAATCAGAAGTTTCCAAAAAGAAAAAGAAAAATTTGATAGATTATAAAATAAATGGAGGAATAAAATCCAAAAAAGAAAGTCATTTTCGAGCATATACATTACATCCAATTTGTAATAATACCTGAGAAAGCGGGATTAACGATAAAATATAGTAATATATAGTGATATAATAGAGACATGATACTACCATATCGTCTTTGTCATATTATATATTGGGTAGGTTCCTTCGCAATTGCCTTGCATTACATGCAATTTCTAGACAAGCGTAAAAGAGTGATGATGATGTTATGTTAGCTAGCTTCCTACCAATTATGACTACAACAAAACAAAGATCCAATGCAACATCATCTTATCTGCCCGGCGGGTACTAGTCTCGATATTTACAATAATACTCGATCATTTTAACACCTTTGATTTGGTATCTGTACTGTTTAATGAGTGTTTATGGACACTTGTTAAGTACAGTTTTATTTTTCAACAATTTATTGTTGAAGTAGAAGAAACACCCTCTAAGAAAAATTTTTGAATCATATATGGTTAATCTAAAGAGAAAATCATTTAACTTCTTAACTTGTCTCGTTAATTATATATATAGTAACGGAGTATGAATTTTAAGTTAGCTTAACTAGCTTATCGTTCATGATCATTTGTAAGAAGATCCAATCCAATCAATTTATAAATGCAATAGTCAGACTTATATTACTCGTAGCAAGTTTATTAATACTATTCCATCTGTTCTGATTCTTAAACTGAACTGAAATTAAAGGGCATATATGATAATCGATCCTAAGACCTCCTAAAATCGGGAGGAAAGCTCTAACCACTTGAGCTATCCCTCACTCTCATTATTGCTTTTTATAAGTATATAATCTCATCCATGAACAAAAGTCAATGCCAAATCTATTTTTTATGATATAGAGATCAATCCTCGCAATTACGAAGTAACTTGTACAAATAATTTAATAACGGCATTGGAAGTTGAAAAATTATTAAGTTTGACAATCACCATAATTTTTCGACGTAAGTGCATAAAGCACTCGCAAATTGCATAGATATTTCCTTGTTAGATGACAATATTAGTATAAAAAATCAAGCTAGCTAGCAATATATCCCTTGTATTTTAAGAAAGGTTGGAGTAAGTCATTGGACACTAATTAAGGTCAAAGCCATATATGATATATCGATCTAGAATATGACTCATTCATACTTGCTTTTTTTTTTTTTTTTTTTTTCTTTTTTGACGAGAACGTTCATACTTGCTTATCTTAACATTGTTGATAGATAGATTTTGCAATTCAAATATTTTAACTTTTATAATCACATATATACACGAAGTATTTTCTACAAATTAAGTAAATATTTTAACTTTTATAATCACATATATACACGAAGTATTAGTACCTTCTAGGCTTCTACACAAAAAAGTACATAATTACCTAAACAAATTATCAATGTATTAAAATTATTATACGAAGTATTTTCTACGAAATAACAAATAAGTATTATTATATGAAGTATTTTCTACAAAATAACATATAAGTAAACATTACTTTCTAGGCTTCTACACAAAAAAAAAGTACGTAATTACCTAAACAAATTATCAAAGTAATAAAATTATTTTAATACTTTGCACAAAAAAGTATTTAAGTTGTACAAATAATTATAGAGTAACTTTTATCAACATATACGAAGTATATTTTTTTAATAGAAGATTTATCAACATATAAATAGCATGAATTATTAACTTTTTACCCTCTCTGTCCCGAAATATCTGACACAACCAACTTTACACACATATCAATGCACTAGTTTGACTTTATTTTTATATAAATAAATATTAACAAAAATTTATTAAAATTATAGTATTATGAAACTTTATATTAATACCTAACAACATATTTTATGATAAAATATTTTTTTTATTATGTTAGTAAAAAATTATGGTCAAAGCTTTGGTTTTTTTGGTGCAGTTGTGTTCAAAATCTAATCTAAATTGTGCATGAATTGTATAATCTCATATAATGTTAAGTTTTTCCCTCCAAAAACATTTGTTATATTGTTTTAATTCTAAAAAAATGAATCTTTGTGAGATATGGAATATGACAAAATAATGCATAGGATATATAGCTATGGGTTTTGAAAATTAGCAAAGATCTAGATATTCTCAAATAAGACAATCTTTCGAACTTATGCTGCTTTCATGGACAGGCAAGCAAAAAACGAGGTTATAAAGAGTATGTGTAGTGTCTATAACTTATGATCAACTCAAATAGACCATTTTGTTGAAAGAAATGAAATCTTTTTTTAAAAAAAAAAAAAAAAAAAAACTGGTGAATTGAACATTTGATCATTTGGTAGCAATGAAGCGCTTCATTTATCATGATATAGGCTGGGATAATACATAACTTAAGACATGCATGAATTCTAACAAAAATCACCTATTACATAATCAACATTGGCATTCCTTCAATTAAATTACAAAACAATGCAATGAAATGACTTCAAAATTAAAAATTAAAAAAATTAAAAATACAAGAAACTTGCAAAATAGCATATATAGCTAATAATACCCTCAATTAATTAGTTATAATAAACTAACTAAACATAGTATTAAAAGCATGATGATTTTTGTCCAAGAGCTTGTTGAAGCCACCTCATTGAACCATCCATCAAACCAGGACTCAACCTAAACATTAAAACACAAAACTCCATTTGATTCAAACATCCATCTTTATCAACATCTCCTTCCCTCATCATTTCCCTTACTTCTTCATCACTCATTCCCTTCAACCCTAAAACCGACAAATTTCTCTTTAAACTCTCAAACGTTATCACCCCCTTTTGCTCATCCATTAGTAGTCGAAACCCGTTGCATAGCTCCTCCATGAACCCTTCCTCGCCGAGGTTCTCCACCATCGATGGTAAGAAATCCTCGAACACAACCCCGTTACTAATGCCTTGTTTCGAAGCCATGACAAATAATGTAAGTATATATGTTGAAAATAATATGTATTGAAAATAATATGTATGAATGTATGATAATGTTGGTTGAATAAAAATATATGATGAGTTTGTGTATATATATATAGGTAGTGTATGTAGGAAACAAAAAAATAGTGGAAATTACATAAGGAATTGGACGAAATAGATTATGCCAACGAAGTTACAGATTGGCAGTTGGAATAAGTAAAGTTAAAAGAGATGTTTTTGGAATTTGGTGTTATTTTGTTAAGGTTGCTTTCCTCGAAGTTGCACTTTACTGTGTTTCTTATATAGAAAGTATTTTTATAGGCATAAATATTGCAGTTTCCTTTTGAGCCTGCGTATTTATGTTCTTTGGATGGGAACGTAGGAAATTGCAATGTAGCCTACTTCTTCGGCATTTCTTTTTCCATCATTGCTTCTTTAATCTTTAGGGATGGATGTGCATTTAAAGAAAGACTTGATCATCGATATGTGTTTTTAGAAAACTTTGACCGTATTAGGTGATTTAGGCGCATTCATGGAATTATAACACGTGATACCTTTCGCAACCTGATAATGACATGGTGTTGTGTTTTACTGTACAATATAAGTGATTGAAACATTTAAACGGTCGTGAATGTTATATTTCTTTGGTTTTATGTGGATGCTTTTATTAGGAATTGGTGGATACACCAATGCGACCCCCATGTGCAACATACGTTTATTTGCTAGAATCTTATTCGGTCATTATCTTTCTCTTATAGTCTTATGAAAAGTAATCTCAAATACACTTTTTAATTTCTCCTAATAAACGGTTGGTTGTGTTCCTATGAGTGGTGCGTCTTGGTGGAGATGACAAACAAGTTATGGGTTAGATTAAGGGTCAAGATCACAATTAGCATTTTATTTAACTTATTAAGCAGTATTTTTACATCAAATGAAAGAAATGTGCCAATTTTAATTAATTTGTACTCGCGACTTTTCATTTAAAAAACAAGCAATTATCAAATTTATGCAAATTTTTGTTTATTTATCAATTAATAACCTTTGAAGAAGTCAATGGATATACAATTAATCAATTATACAAACTTCACAATAGTAATAAACTAGGTTAGATCCCGTGTCATGCACGGTTTTTTTTTACTCTTTATTACGGTGTATTAATTGAAAATTATGTTTAAATATATAATAAATAATTTGGTCCAAAATAAATTTCTTATTTTATTCCAAATCAAGCAACTTAAAATATTTTTTTTTTTTTACCCTTCATGATTGCATATTGTATTTTCTATTCAAGCTTTCTTATATTTTGAACCCTAATGACATATAATTTTTTATTCTATGTTTGATAATTTTTCATTTACTGATTAAATGTTAGATTGAAAGATACATATTCATGATTTTTTTACTATAAATAATCATACATTTAAAAGTGATTGTTTATAAAGAAATTTATATAAGATATGATTAGATATTTAAATTGCTAAATATATTATTTTATGATTATTTTCCTTAATTTTTGGAAGAAAATACTTGCATATATTCTTTATCAATTTTTCAAAAAGTCTTTTTTTTGTAAAAAAAAACACACAAAAAAAAACAAACAACACTAAGGACACACCAGAAGATGACACATGTCATTGCTGGTGTGTCTTTTAGTATTTTGTTATTGATGATTGATTTTCATTACATTGTCTCCAAATTTATTCAAATACAGTATGTGTTTATATTGCTATTGTCGAAAACAAAACAAAACAAAAAAAATATATATATATATATTCAATTGTACTAAATATATTACAATGAGTCAATGACACATGATATATATCACCTATATCAATATAGACCTATATATATACATTAAAAGATACACCGTATTGAGTTAACGCCTAATTAATAGTGTGTTTGGATAAAGAAATGAGAAAGAAAAGAAGGGGAGGGTAGAGAAAGGGAGGGGAGGGAAGGAAGATAAGTTTCCTTTCAAATCTCTTCATGGAGAGATTAATTTCTTATACTTGAATATAATTTAATTCTTTTAATTCCTTTCTTTTTTCATTTGTGATCCAAATGAAAGAAATTATATCCCTTATATTCCCTTCCTTTCCCTTCTTTCCCCTCTTTTTTCTTCAATTCAAACAAAGTGTAAGAGTCTAATGCTAGTACTATTGTCTTTTGCCTTTTAACATTCTTTAATACGGAATATTAGTAACTCTTACGGAGGAGTAATACAAAATACAATATCGAAGTACACTAGCTCTCTTTGTTCGACTTAAATTATCTCATAGCCCTTAGAATTATTTTGCCTACGTACTCATTTTAAAAAATGTGGAGTTCTTTATTTTGTCTTTTGCATGCGCATGCAAATGTAAAAACTCTATGGTAGTAATTAGACTTGCCAATTTTTGACCCCGCAAACCTGATTCGGTTTTGTACATTTTTGGTGTTTAGAGAGCCACAAGGGCGGGAGTGAGAATCGATCCCAGGATTTTCTAGAATCGGGAGGAAAGCTCTAACCACTTGAGCTACCCCTCACTCTCAACTGATCCGGTTTTGTGGGTCTTGAACAATTTTTTTTTGACCCGTAACCCGATTTAGTTCGAACTCGTTTAACCCATAAATTTGCTTATCAAACCCGATCCGAACCCGACTTGTCAACTCGAATTTATTGTTTTTTAAAAAAGAACACATTATTTGAAAATTAAAATTAGCTTATTGATTAAGTTTGATAATTTGTCTACCATCAGATATTCATTTAATCTATTTTTCTTTAATCTATCTCATATAACTCTTGCTTAAATCCACACCAATCACCTCTTACACCAATCATTGACTTACACTAAGGGTCTGTTCTCATACGTTTATTTTCAGTTCAGTTCAGTTCAGCTCCTAATTTTCTTCTCTTATAGAATATTTATTTTAGTTCAATTCAGTTCAGCTCCTAATTTTCTTCTCTTATAGAATATTCATTTTAGTTCAATTCAGTTCAGTTTAGTTCAGCTCCTAATTTTCTTCTCTTATAGAATATTCATTTTAGTTCAGTTCAGTTCAGCTGATTTCAGTCTATTAGAAGTTTAGAACAGACCCTAATTGCATCCGCATAATTCCGGCATGTAACCGATTGAATTGATATGTCTACTGATATTAGATGTTCATTATTTTATAACATGTTTACTATTTTATTATTAAATGTTCATTTTTTTCATGTTTATATTTTTTTTAACTAAATGTTCATTTTATAGAGTGTTGATTTAGACGGATTGCGGATAGGTTATTTTGGGTTATTTGATTCATAAGTATGCAGCTATAATAGCTACATAAGTACGCAGTTAAGACTTAAGACCCATTGCTCTTATACACCCTAATACCCTATGGTGGATATATTCTATAAAAGACTTTTTGGGCCCATATATATATATATACATATACTAGTATATAAAATAAAAAAATGCGCTTAGAAAATACACTTGTAGAATCCGCCACTTGTTAATTGATCCAACTCCATTTGTTGGGCTAATTTTACGACGATTCGAAATTCTCGATCTCGGCCCGTTTAATAACTTCGGCAATTAAATTGGACAAATGGTATTTAGAGCCCAATACCTTATTTGGCAAATTGGCATTCAACATGCTCACAAGCTTAATAGTTTATGAAATTCTTATCAATCTAACTCTAACTCTAACCATTACTTTTTCCTTTTTCTTGTGTTTACTTTCTCGTTTAAAAACAAAGATTATTAAAGTGGAAAAAAAAAATGATTGAGATAGCATAAGGGTGATGAGTGGAATAGGACAAAATAGAAATATAAAATCGAATGAAATTGAACTGAATGGAATTAATAACAACACGGCTTAATTTCACACCATCAAACATTTTGTATTAGGCTTTTGAGTTATGAATCATTTCTAGCTTAATTATATTCATTTTAATTTCATTCGATCAGCTTGCAATTGATCATTATTATAATTTTTTGATAAAGTTGAATTTTCAAATCTGTGTTGAAGTAACAAAGACTACGTAACGAAATCTTGAGTTATAAGCTCATCTCTCATTTCCAAATAATAGATCGATTGGAGTTTAGTGCAAGGCATGAAAAGGACCCATAGTCCTGTATTGTATGCATAAATCATTAACTTATATATTTTACATTAATGGAAAGTTACATAAGGTGGTTTGTCCTTATTGATAGATTAAACTATTAATTAGACTTCTAATCAAACATTAATTTGGACTTTTAGTATAATTAGTTCCACATGTAGAAGTTCCAACATCCTACCCATTCAAGAAAGTAGAACAATAATATATGTTCACCCTCCATAATAAACTAATACTTCCTCCGTGACTTCTATTTCTGAACAATTGTTCCATCTCCATACAACATTTCGTTCAGATCAGAGTTGATTTATTTAAAAGGATAAGAGGCTATTTATTACTTTTATTTTATTTTTTGTCTTTACATAATTGCACATGAGTTGAAAATTTTATATAATTAAGACAATGATGCGAACTTAATGGGACATTTATTTTTGATATATAGGGCAATTTTAGTGAAACAGACTAAATATATATTAATTAATTAGTCAAAAGAGAGATATGTAGTGGAATTAGTACTAAAAATAATTCCATGGGATACCCTTTGAATCCACCTGAAGAATCATATCATATGGTTTATATTTATTTACATTAAAAGGAAATGACAATAGCCACAACTTCTCCTAGTTGTCACTAGAATAAGCAATAGTAGAAATAATATATAAAAAAATATCTTACATCAAATCTTCAAAATCCCACCACAAACTTTAGCCAGACAATTTATTTACATAAACAAACTTCAACTTGTCAAAACCATACTTTTTTCCACCTTAAAAAAGCCTTCTATAAATATAAAGAAATCATTGCTATTCCTTGTTTGGAGAAATAAAATTGTTTTTTTTTTAAAAAAAAAATGAGGGTGAAGAGAAAATGTGAGTTATGTAGCAATATTGCTACAATATTTTGTGAATCAGATCAA